GATCAGCATGCCACGTAGATCATGACACCACGTGGATCCCGACGCCACGTGGGGTGTGGACGAAGCCACGTGGATCTACGAGCCACGGAGTTACCGATGCTGCTGCCCGACGTCACGATGTCTGCCTGACGTCACCTCGAGATGTCTGCTGATGTCACAATGCTGCTGATGTCACCTTGCGACGTCACGCCTGACATCACATGATGTCACATCGAGTGTTACAGTATTTATGTCAGTATTGTCGAGAAGATTGAGAGAAGATATATGTCATGTTAATTAATTCCTCTCAGTCAGTGTTCTCACATGTTAGTGTATGGCTTAGTGTCAATTTTGTGCACAGAAAAGCATCATTTGCTAGTTTAAGCCGCAAACGGTCCAAACGTGTATATACGTTTTTTCAACATTTGAAAGTATATAAAAAAATAGATCTTCTTTTTGTTTTTTTTACATTTGAAAATGTGTAAAAAAAAATTTGATCTACTTTTTTTTTTTTACATTTGAAAATATGTAAAAAAATGTAGATCTACTTCTGTAGCACTACACATGTGAACGTAGATCTGCTTGGACCGTTTACGGGTTAAGCCATGTTGTACCGCATGTACCGCGGCTGTGTGTGCAGTTTTCTGTGTGTACTGTGTGGGCTTGAGCCCAGCTGTGTGTCGACCACAGGTCTGCGGCCAGACCCCTGTGTAGCACCTTGTGTTGTCACCCGGTGTGACCAGCGCGTTTGACAGCGTCAAAGCCCCTTGTACAGAAAGCTCTTATGCTCGTCGCTCATAGATGTTCTGCGGAATCGTACCTGCTACGATTCCCATCGAAATTTGTTTCACTTCACCTCCAGAACTTCAGAGTGCAGTTATATGTAGAGAAACAAGTCTGGGGACGCTTAGACTAACCTCTACTATAACTCCAACTGCCGAGAGAAAGACACTTGTCAAGCCGCAGTTTAAGCCCTGTCGGCAGGCGCTGTGTCAGCCTCGTGTCACAAGCTTCAGTGAGCAGCCTGCACAAAGAAGATGTCACTTTGACTGCTAGCTCGCTCACTACAGTCTGGTGTATGATGTTACAACTCCCAGATGTTTCGCCCAGTCGTCTCTGCCACGACTCGCTCCACGACTTACTTCACTCGCCGGCAGTGACAGCCCAGCAACAGTACCAGTCGAGAAGTGTCCTCCTAAGTCGCTTGCCAGAAGTCCTGCCCAGTTGTCGGGGGAAAAGCATGTTGTGCCCCAGGTTGAGTGAAACCTGCAATGACTCCTACGATGACTGCTTCACCGTTCTAGAGGAGACCGTACCTGTTACATTAAAGCTCAGCCGCAGCGATGTCTCCTGTGTTGCAGTATCTGTCCAGACGTAGGAAGGCGTGCAGTGATGCCCCTCGACGCTCACTGCCTTTGACCACAATGTTTAGCACACCCCATGTTTTTTTCTTCCTTCCCTGTAGGAAGTTGTTTTTCCATGTCCAAGTGTATATACATGTTTTTTATTTTGTGTTCTGTGCCCTGTTCCTACGAGAGAAAGACCGAGTTTTTTTGTAGCGTCGGGACGAAGCGAGGTAGGTGGCCAAGCGTATGTAGGCAGCCTGTACTGTCTGCACAGACAGCCTATGCTGTCTGCCAGCTTAGTTCATATTTCGTGGCACTAAGGTGCTGCCCTCTCTCGGCCTGCCCAGGTCAGTGGGATGCTGGTCCCACTCGCCCTCACTCACTCAGCGGCCTAAAAGCAGTCAACAGTCCTACTAGCTCTGTCCCTCGTGGGCATGGCCCTACTGGGCCATGGGCACTCAACACACAACCCTGTGTACCCACCAAGACTTGAAAATAAAGTAAGAAGCCTCCGAAGACGTTTATCATTGAACCCCGCTCCACTGCAGCATCACCGAACAATCTCGTTATAAGTCCTCTGTCCAAGACCTCTATCCAAGTCCTCTATCCAAGACCAATATCCAACCCCTCTACAAAAGACCTCTACTCAAGACCTCTACCCAAGACCTCTAACCAAGACCTCTACCCATGACCTATACCCATGACATCTACCCAGGACCTCGACTCAAGACTATCCAAGACCTCTATCCAAGACCTCTAACCAAGACCTACAACCAGTCCCTCTACAAAAAACGTATACTCAAGACCTCTACCCAAGACCTCTACCCAAGACCTCTACCCAAGACCTCTACCCAAAACCTCTACCCATGACTTCTACCCAAGACCTCTACCCAAGACCTCTACCCAAGACCTCTACCCAAGACCTCTACCCAAGACCTCTACCCAAGACCTCTACCCAAGACCTCTACCCAAGATCTCTACCCAAAACTTCTTCTCAAGACCTCTACCCAAGACCTCTGTCCAATACCTCTACCCAAGCCCTCTGCGCAAGTACTGTACCCAAGACCTCTACCCAGAACCTATTCCCAAATCCTCTACCCAAAGCCCTGTACACAAGACCTTTACCCAAAATCTCTACCCAAGACCTATAGCCAACCCCTCTACAAAAGACCTCT